GCAGGAAGCCTGTCCCCCTGCAAATGATGCTTGCAGGGACAAGGGGTGTCTGAGCTCTGAGCCTCAGAACTAACCACAGTCACCCATCCAGGTACGTGTGGATGTTAGGGGTCAGCCAGGAATACGTGGCCCTCCATGGTGAACCAATTGCCAACAAGACACCCAAAACATCCGGAGCACTGAAAATACGCAACGGGATTTGATTTTACCAGCCTGGTTGATGCTACTGTCACATCCGAACTGCCGCCTGATTCCAAGTTCACCAAAGCAAGCCAAGCACGTCTAGAATAGGACCAGTAACGACAGACCAAAAGGAGCAGTCCTGGTTTCAGACTAGCAATTCACAGCAACCAGAAGATGTGAGTAGGAAGAAATGACAGACCCGACCCACAGCAGTCACACTTCTCCAGTGCCCACTCCGCGCAGTAGGACAGAACTCTGCTGGTTGGCGCCAGAAGAGATGGTGGGGAAGGGGGAAGGGACCGGGTGCTTGCAGGGACCTACCTTGTAGAAGGGCTCCATTTCTCTTGAAGAAGGTACTGCCCGGCCAGATGGGTGGACCTGATGTGCTGAAACAGAAAAGAAAGCAGCGTAAGGATGGGCTCATTTACACGCACTCACCTATACTCTGAGCAACCCATGCTCTGAACATGCCACTCAAAATGACCTCAAAATGCTTTCCCAATTATGTATTTGGCCAGGGGGAGGGACCCCGGGAGGTTGGCTGGGCTGGAAGGAAGGGAGGGAGGCAGCGGGAGATTGGCTGTGGGAGTGCACTGAGCACCAGGGGGCAGCTCCTGCGTTGAGTGTCTGCCCCCTGGAGGTCAGTGCACATCAAAGCAACTGGTTGACTAGTCGTTGCAGTCATTTGGTCTTAACGGTAGCTTTGGCTTTTATATAAATAGATTTATAACCTCTGAAAATGCAACTTTAAAAACCATTACTTTTGTTTTATGATGAATGGTACAGAAACAGTCCATGTGGAATTGGGGTTACCATCTGGACCCTGCTACCTTCTGGGCACTGGAATTGTTTGCGGATAAACAAAATGGCAAATTCATACAGTTCAACGCTTGTAACTTTTGCTAACTTGTTCTTGGTTTTATGATTTTATGTGGCAAAGAACTTCTATCCCTGCCTGAGACCAGGTGGGTTTTCCAACACTTCCTGGTGCCACCTGCCTATTTATAAATGCAAACCTGCCTCTCTTGGCTTTCCCATCATCAAGTCCTTAATATACAGACATGACCTTGATCGACTCTCTCCCTCCCCTACCTTCTTGTTTCGCATCCTGTTTTCAATTTCTTGGCTTAAAATGTTGCACTCCATCCCCTATAATACATTTTTCAAATGTCACCACCCACAGTCTAGTAACAAGAGAGGCAAGAAAATAAGGAAGATCAATATATCACAAAGACACTTTACTGCATTTATAGACAAGCATTTTCACTGTTTTAAAATACCCAGTGAAAAACTTTATAACCGAGCCTGCCTGAATGAAATATCCTTGGAGTGGAAAGCAGGTTATTCTAAATCAAGCAGTGAATCTTAGAAAGCACTTAGTAAAAAAAAAAAGAAAGAAAAAAAAAGTTACTACATCCAGCCCAAGAGGCAGCATAAGCTACTTTCAGCAAAATAGTTCATGCAGTGTGGGGTTTGCAGGAGGCAGCTGATTGATCTCTCTCATTGATGTTTCTAACTCTCTATCCCTCTCCCTTCTTGTCTGTAAAAAATCAATAAAATATATTTTTTTAAAAAATAGTTCATGGCAAACGATACTGGTTAACGCATCATCAATCACTTTCAATATTAAAAAAATAAAAAGCTGGTCCGAATAACACATGTGTAAATTGGGCAGGTGGACACACGCAGGGAGAATAAGAAATCTGAAGGGCTATACGACTGATGACTGCTTCACTGATGTCCAGGGTCCCTAGTAATGCGATACTGTTAACGAAAGGAGAAATCCCAGGGACACGTGCTGCTGATGGACACATCGTTACCAGAGGTACAAACAGTATCGCGGGTCCATGGACACATTCCATAATTGGGAAGGAGAAGGAATAAGAGCGATAGCGCAAAAATACTATTCAACAGCAGATGATGTCAAGTGTGCTAGAAAACACATTGTAACCCGCGATGTACATGAACCTTTTTGTTCTACTGTGTTTGGATCCACTGTATTCAGACTGAAAGGGAACAACCCAAATCCGTGATGGCTTTTCCTGCAACCCTGATCCCCCCAGCTCTGGCCATGGTGGCCTCTGGGTGGCCAGGAGTTGCCCAGGGCAACAGCAGACCTGGCTGGGGTCACAGGGCTGTGGGACGATGGCAGCAAGCTGATTTCTCTTCTGTCTCATTCCTGGCCTATTCCGTTCTGAGGCTTTGCAGCTCAAAGTTGAAGGAAGAATAATATGCACTAAAAGGCTTAAGATTATCTTTTAACAACCCCAGCCAGCTCCTGGGATTTCACCATAAGAAAGCAGGAAGCAGCAAGCTGGCTGTTGCCAATACTCAATCACCTGATTTCTAAAGATATTTAAAAACCGAGGACTTCATTATAGAGGAGTTGGTGCTTCAAGAGAATTCAATAATTGAGTATTACTGCAGGAGCCTGAATATCTAGCTTACTGCCACCCAAATCTCCTCTTTATCCTGACCTGGATTTGGCTGAGAACCGAGTAGATGCCAGCGATGGGGTAAATGGGGAAGCAAGGGCGGGTAAATCCAGTGGTTTAGATAAGGAAAATTCTCTATACCATAGAAATCTACTTAAAGGTTTCGACAACATCCTTTTAATGTAGCTAAGTCTCCAATCACTATTCCCGCTGCCCTGCTGTGTGGTCTGTGTAATCTGTAGCCGAGTAAAATGGAGAGAGATTTGACTGGCCCCCCATTGGGACTGATGAATTCACCTGTGGTCTTCCTGGCTCAAGGTAAACTGGTTCACATCACACTCATTACAAAGCTTTGGAGCTCACTGGCCCCATATTCTACATTCTTTTTTTTTGGATGGTCCCTCAAAATGACATCTTCTAACTATTAGCACATTCAAGGATGTATTAAGTGCTTACTGAGAACTGTGCTGGATGTTAAGAAGGACACAGGAAGTGAAGGAGGGGGATTAAAAGGCACCTTTTATGGCCTCCAGGAGTTTTACTGACATACTTACCTAGCTCCAACCTCCTAGGATTCTATCTAAAGGGACAAGAAATGCCCATAGAAAGGTCAATGGTTACAGTCCTTGTGGCTTCAGGTTGGAGAAGCTGCAAACTGATTTTTTCCCTCGATGTGGAGTTGTTTCCGGTTCACTGGACTTTAAAGCTCAAAGTGAGCTTAAAACATTATATGAAATTACTGAAAAGTGTGTGTCAAGCCCAGTAATTCCGAGAAGGCGCTGTGGTCAAGGTCTTTGTGGGAGAACCTGAGTCACCCTGGAAACCACCCATTCATTCGGCAAACCAAGAGAGGAGGGTGGGGGACTCTCCACTCAGCGCGAGGTGCTGGCGACTTGTATATGGTCCCTGCCACCACTTCTCTAGGACCTCTTCAATCTACCAAAGCGGGTTTTCATTACCACACAATGGTGCTCACGTTGCTTGAAGCGGGGACAGCAAATTCCTGTTTACAGAGTAAGCCACCAACACGTTTCCAGGGAACCCTCCAATCCTGTGGGAGGGTAGGCAGGCAGGACTCACCTTCCTCCTCCTATGGACAAGGAGATAGAGGCCCTGAGCGGGGAAGGGAATCACCCAAGTCATCTAGTGAACACCCAAGACCACACCAGGGCTTGCGGGGCCAGCCCACTGTTCCCATACAAACACGTCAACGGGCCGGCTTCATTCCTCACCGCCGGCTTTCCTCTTCCAGTCTCCCCGCACTGAACTCCTAGCTATCGCTCTGCATGGAAGAAGGCTGTGGATGGGATTTCACCAAGACTCTCTCCAAGGCTGCCCAGCCAGTGTGGTCCAGTGGTTGAGCATCGACCCACGAACCAGGAGGTCAGGGTGCAATTCCCAGTCAAAGCACATGCCCGGGTTGTGGGCTTGACCCCCCAGTAGGGAGCATGCAGGAGGCAGTGAGTGGATCAACGATTCTCTACCATCATTGAATCATTGATGTCTCTCTCTCTCTCTCTCTCTCTCCCTCCCCCTCCCTCCCTCTCTGAAATCAATAAAACATTAAAAAAAAAATCTCTCTGAGGCAAAATGCCACGCTAGAAAAAGCAATCAGGCTAACCATATGTGAAACACGGCACTGGGCTCCTATTAGCAGAAACAATACAACACGGGGCCACAGATGTCTCATTTCAATGAGGCGCTAACAAAATTCCATGAACTTCAGCAACTAAAAGCCAAACCTGCTTTGTGACAGAGGAAGCCAACCAACAGGACCAGAAAGGCAGTTGTGAACTGGCATTTGGGAATATTGATCAATCGGATCGTTAAGACCAGAGCTGAGCCAGCAAATCCCAAGAGACGAGTGGTATCGTCCTGAACAGCACACCCCGTGTCTGCCTGAGACTCACAGTCCACCATCGCTCCCTGGGCCACACGTTCTCGGTTGCATGGCTTCGAACTCCCAACGGGACACCGTGACTCAACAGGTCATGGACCCCTGAGGTGGCTCTTGGCACAATGATGTGATCTGTCACGTGTTTTCTCTACACCCGTGACCTTCACCACTGTGACAATCGGCTGGACTGTAACCATGACCCTGGGAGGCTCTGGCACCACCCACACCTGTACACTCACCAGCCTGGAGTTTCTCTAAGTCTAATGAAAAGCAAATGAAGGCCCTAGCCAGTGTGGTTCAGTGCATAGAGCATCGGCCTGCAGACTAAAGGGTCCTGGGTTTGATTCCAGTCAAAGGCACATATGTGGGTTGTGGGCTCAATCCCCAGTAGGGGGTGTGCAGGAGGCAGCTGACCAATGATGCTTTCTTCACTGACATTTCTATCTCTCTTTCTCTCCCTCTTTCTTCCTCTCTGAAATCAATAAAAAAAATTTTTTCAAAAAAAAATGGCGCAAATTAGGAAAAGTACTTTTTTTCTAAGCTGCCAAATGTGAGTAGGTGTATCTAAAAGAAAGAACAGGATACAACACGATGAACCTCAAGGACACTGCGCTAAGTAAAATAAGCTAATCAAAAAGTAAAATAAGCGAATCAAAAGAATGAATCCTACATATATATGGTTCTATTTCTATGAGGTCCCTGGAGGAGTCAGGTTCACAGATAGAAAGTAAAATGGTGGTTTCCAGAGGCCAGAGGGAGTGGGGAAGTCATTGTTTAGTGGGTTCAAAGCTTCAGTTTTGCAAGGAACTGGCTGCACAGCTATGTCCACGTGCTTAATACTACTGATCCATACAATGGTTAAGATGGTTAACTGTAAAATGGTTAAGATGCTGTATTTTTTTATGTTGCATGTATTTTACCACAACAAAACATTTCTTTATATTGATTTCAGACAGAGGAAGGGAGAGGGGGAGAGAGAGAGAGAGAAAAAAAAAATCAATGAATACACCTTGTACTGAGGATGGAGTGCCCGGACTGGGAATCAAACCTTGAC